CAAACTAGATTCCGGCGGAGCAGGAAATCAGGAGGAAGCGGTGGAAGTGGATAGGACACACACTATGGATAGAAAATAACTGCCTCACAAGATAAGCCCTGACTTGGAACTCTTAAGGTCAAAGGAAAAGAAGGCGAAAAACCACATCTCGCCGAGAAGTAGAGAAATCTGTGAGAAGAATGAACTGAAATCGGGCAGAACTGGAAATGGAAGCACAGGAGAGAATAGATTGGTGAACGCTGGCCCGCAATCTATGCCCCATCGGGAGTGACGGGCGTAAGTGAAGTAGGTAAAGTATTATGGGATAAAATCCCACACCCTTTATATTGCCATTTCAGAGGTCAGTTGCGAAAACGTGCAGGTAGACGTACCGGGAGACAGGAACGTCAGGCGAAAGTTTCGTCCAAACCTTGTAGTTGAGAGATTTAGACTGCAATGTCATCCAATCATCCAATCAAGAGCAGAGTGGTCTGCTGATCTAAAGGTAAGGCGGGTATCTAAACTTCCTGAATAATTATTCCTAATTTCAGACCTGGGTTCGGATTTAACGGTTCTAAACAGTATTGGCCGATTGTTATTGTGGATCCTATAATTCTAAACAATATTTTAGGTGAACGGAGTTTCGTTAATTTGGGGAATTAATCAAATATAACATGAAATAAATAATCATGCAAAATACACCAATCATTCGGTACACATCTGTTGGGGCATTACAGATCTTAGATTTATTATTCGACGAAGTATCGAACTGCAACCTACGTGGATCGGGTATGAGAACATGAGCAAGGGTGAACGTTCACAGATACTGCCGTCAATTATTCAGGTTGATCGTTAGCTGTCACGTACCGTAGGTAGGAATGGCAGAGCCATTTGCAGCGCGCAGTCGTAGCCTTGTAGCTTGAGACCTGCTGCTACCAGACGATGCGAGAGTAAGTTGGGCACCTGTCACCACTAGGTACCTAGCACTAATGCAAAAGTCGTGCACGTAAAGTAAGCGACCAACCTGTGGTTACGGGAGGGACACAGGTGAAAATCCAATGACCTACACCTTGTAGTCTATAATAATGTTAGTATTCTTATGACTATCCAACATTTCGAAATGTTGTTTCAATTAAAATATACAATAAAAGATATTAATAATAGTAGTGCAACAGGAGTATAGATGGATAGTAGACTCATCGTAATTGGCTTCCTATATGAAAAACATCAACAGATGTTTTAGCGAGCTTTCGATTCGGGATCGCCAATTGTAGTTGCAAAGGACGAATAAACGAGGAGCACAGTAAAACAATAACCGGTACAAGATGTTATAGTAATGAATGTTTTGGATGAACCAGTCGTGTTCTCTTCATAAAAGTGGAATCACTACAATATTATCACTGTAGTTCTGTCATGCTGTTTGCAAGTAATGCAGCTTCAGTAAGCGGCATTTGTCTGCATCGTTAGCTATGCCCATATTTTATACTTAGTTTTTAAGTCTGTAGATAGCACAGGTCTTGTTCACTGTACTTTTAGGTTTGCCTATTTTGGCATCAGACAGTTATCGGTGAACTGTGATTATGTAGATAACTTAGAAGGCTACTACACTTAACTTTAATATAAAATGAAGGAATTCTTGCTGAAATCTTCATTGATAGCAGCCTCATTTTCTATGTGACCTGCCATGTGACCAATGTCATCTTTTTCTTTAAGATTATTAATTTAACTAATGCCGAATGTTCAACTAATATAAAACAACTCTAGCTGCATGCATAGCTGAAGTAAAAGTTAATGACTTTTCTACTAATTTCAGGTATCCATTAGTGGAGATCACTAGTGTTAAACTGCATCGTTTCACTACAATGCTCAAAGATGCACAACTACACAGAGGTTGGTCTATAACACCAAACTTCACCCAAAGAACTAAAATCAGGATTAGAAAATCATTCAAGTGATAGTAACTAAATGAACATCTTTTATACGTTCCAAGTGGCCTACTTCTCAGACCAGATTAGTTTTTCTAACAATTAAAGGCAACAAAGGGGGTAAAAAGGAGAAAAGGTGAAATAAACACATCTATATCCAACTCATGAGCTACCAAACAGGATATATTATGGAAGGGGAGAAAATAGATTTTCACTGGACAATGAACAGAATTTACTCACTGTGACAGAAATCACGAAAGATGGTTGAACGGAGAGTTCTCTCCCCATTGAACTAGTTTTCAACACTGTGCAGTCGCAAACGTATACTCTTTCAAATGGAGATAATTACAATAACAGTGATCATAAAACTTTTGCTACACAAATTTGTGGTACCGTTAGGCTGTAAAACCTATGTCAACCAGACGACAGACTTATTATCAAGTGACACCAAGTTCACCAAAAAAACAATCAGAAGATTAAGACCATAATGATCAGAATATAGCTAGTTGAATTTCTTTAGAGAGAAGAAATGATTCAGTAATTAACGATGACATCACTGAGAGTATAGGGTCAACTTGATTAATAATACCACGAGTATAAAGTCTCCTGGCTTTCAGATCAACAACTCATATGTTCGGGTCCCCTACCACTCTAGCTGGCTGATCTTCTGGATATCGTAAGAAAACGTATTTGTATATATACTAAAAATGATACCTTTGAGTTTGTGAACCACACAAAATAAGTCATTGTAAGTGATGCTGAGTCACTGAGACCAAATTTATCTGAGAATAAATAAATGATAATAAGATTACCACTGGACTACCAGAAATTCAACTAAAGGAATTACTAATATAAAGGACTTTTAGCTTACATTTTACATTCAACGACCTAATTTACGGTCGAAAGGAGGAATTGCGGAGAAATCCCCTATTCGTTTGTTACAAAGTACAGAAAAAAAAACCACTTAAAAACAACTACTGATAACTTCTACGTGCAAAATATTCATTTCCTTGATGGTCCGTGACGACAAGAGAACCGATAGAACTCAGAGATTCAATTATTGAGGAAACCCTTATGGAACAACACTGCATCAGGCTTTCACAGCTGGTTCCTCATTAAACATGATGGAAACACAGATAATCTCCTTAGCCAAAATAAAAATTTTTATCATTGCCTAATTGCATGACCATTACCATGTTTAGTAAAAAATCTTTCATCACTGCAATTTCACTTGTGGCCATACCGAAAAGAGAACTTGCTCAAACATTTATTTTGTTCTACACAACAACAACATTTCTTATCTAGGCCCTTATTACCATATTTTGCTTGATAGGTGCAACATTTGGCTGTATGGATTCTCTGGTGTTAGCCATAACTTTAGAAGACGGATATGACATAGAGAGTAGATACATAAAATATGAATCCCCACCTCAAATCATTAGGATAAGTTGAAGGCCCCTCTAAGTACAGAGTACTGTGTTTATATTCTAACCTTACAACTATTCATAGGTACTAGATAAGCTGTTTACAAAGGTTTCTCGTTTGTACGCGACTGGTACTTATGTAGCAGAGTAGACGCTGTTCACCTTATATCTTTCGTACCAGATCCCATACGCCATATATATATCAAGACGAGTGACACGGAAGTTAGATATTCGGTTATCCTTATAGATTAATTGATTACCATGATTATCATCCCCCAAGATTTTCGCACTGAATTAATATTAATTATTATTTACTGAAACTGAACAAGTACCTAATTGACTGAGACTGAATATAGGCGTATGGTCCTGATGGGGAATGCAAACAAAAGTTGTAATGCTTCTTCGTGAATACTATAAATGAATAAAAGTACACTTAACAACTAAGCATGCCCATATATATTTAATACTGAGCATCTAGTATTATCATTTATCCACTGATCCAGGATATGACTAAATTTAGTTTACTTAGTTTGAGACTGTCTACTGTGACTACAGTAGCAAAATCCTTCAGTTTAGCACTAAACAATACCATACACTATAAGTGGTGAAGTAAAGCACCCGAACGTACAACATGAAACACTCACAAATGACGCAATTTCATGAATTTATTCGTAAATCATATCAAAAACCATCCATCAAATCGATATATCTAACGAAGTTGAGAGCAGCGGAATGAACGTTATGATGCAAGATGTTTGCATTTGATACACTTGTAGCGATTCGTATGATATACTTTTTCTCAGGATAACAAATGTTAATCCCGATACTCTAAGAATCCAATAAAAAGGCGATTCTAGAGGAAGAAGTATATTTGATACTGACCACGTGATATCGAAATAATATCGAGTCAAGAGGGCGTACAAACGGCTAAAGTCCACGCACGATACGTGCAAAGAGGAGAATAGGAATAACGCGCTTGGCGCTCGAGAGACAGCCTTTAGTACAGATAAACAAGAGGTGTAAAATATAGGCAGTTGTTGTCAGGATCAAGTACAATAATAAATGTTTATATTTCAGCAATTGTGTAAAAGTATATCACTGCACACTCCTAATCGTTCACAATAAATGAAATAAAAATAACTAGAGCTCAAAAGGCATCAAACTTTGACATCAAAGATATCAAATGGTGTATTTTGATACTAGAAACAACAGTAAACTATTTAAATCGAGGAAGAAGTAGGGTAGCAACTACAACCTGGTAAAGTGCAGTATAGTTTTTTCAAGTGAATGGCTAGCAAAGGACTTACTGATTATCAGTGATTAACTTCCTTTTAAGAGTGTAATGAATGTAACACATGATTCATTGCACCTCTGAGGTCAAAATAATTTAAATTTCTTATTCGTCATATTGATTGTGCGAACTCAAATCTGAAAGCCGTACAATCGAAAGTAGACTGTCTTTGCATACCCAATCATGTCCAAGTGACTGTGATTTTGTTACTAAGTTTATATCTGTAACCATCATTAATAAACACTGACACTCGTACATTGAAATTAGCCATCATAAAAACAGGTTATTGTGATAATGGTGAATAAAGGAAATTAACTCTCTGTAAATGTATACGGTATTATAATTTAAAAAAACTCATTGACGTCTAAGACAGTGTTCCTAATGATTTTGCAAGAACTTTTAATACACCAAATTTATTTCCTCGACACCAGAGTAGGTTTTCAAATTTCGTCGTATTTGGTCGGCCATCTTGGCTTTTTAAATCCTGAGGTGAGTTAGCGCTGCACAGCTGCATCCTACGGATGTGTTTTCTTCATTTGTAACAAATTATTGTCAGTTTTTTGTCGTACTGTCTGCCTATATCGATATAGGGTATGCCCTTCAGAAGACCTTCGAAGGTCACTTTGGAAGGTCGCCAGGGTTGACGTCCTTGCGCCTAATTGTTATGTCAAATTCTTCTATTTTGCGACTTTATTTACCAACCAAATTTCACCTGCTTACATTTCTTGTACATAATGAGCGACCATGTTATTTATTCTCCTTAGCTGGATGAAGGGATGGCAGCATCTGAAGTAACGAGTCCAACCGACATGCACGATGAAATGAAGGATGAAGATCTGAAGGCTACTGTAGCTTTGGATAAACTCATAATGGGAGTCTCGCCGAAGTCATCGGGACCAATCTCTGCGGGTGATGATCATGTTCCTTCGACAACTTACGTCACAATTCATCTCCCGGACGGGACTCAAGGATCAACTCTAAGTCAACAGAAATTACAGGAGCTTATCATGCACTTGTCTCAGTCCGGTCAGATTCAGCTGCGAGAAGACAGTAAAATTGTGATAGATGTGAGTTACCCCACTACTAGTTACTGTTAAGCTGTAAGCAAACTAGTTATGGTCTAATGATTACATAATTATCTATACTATACGTATTCATACTGTTCTAGTACGCGAACCAATAACAATTAGTCATATCGTCGTAAGACACCATGCAGTTATTCTACTTGGTTATAATCATTTCTTTTCTGAATTTAGTTTCTAAGTCTATTACCCATCATGTTAGTGCTTTTTCCAGACTAACTGTTGTGTTTTTTGGCATTCATAGCACCCATAAACGGTTAGGTCACGTCAGGTTTCTCGAAGCCTAAAGTCCAGCGATTCTAAGACTAAATATATATATATGTATATATATATATATATATATATATATATATATAATATATATATAATATACTATATATATACTATATAGTATATTAGTGATTGGTTCACTTTTTTGGTTAGTAGTGATTGCAACAGATCCTGACTTCAGATACTA